TGGAAAGCGCTAACACCCGTCACCCGACGGCCCTCCGCAGCGTGCGGAGGTTTGCGTCCAGCCTCCAGGGCCGCTGGGTGTTTCTTCTCCTTGCTGTAGCTGCTTTAGGCGATTAGAAGTGGTGACAGATACCAGATTGAAAATGTTTACGCGCTGGGTACAGCACAGTAGGCTTCAGTGAAGGTGTTTTCCGTTACAGGAGACTCAATGAGAGAGAGAGAATTGGAGAACTGGGGGCACCTGAAGTCTGGGGACTGTCACCAAAGGTTCCTGACCCCGAGTAAGGCATATTCTTTCTTCTTTCCTTCCGGTTTTTGTGGTGGTAATGATATATCAGTTTAATTTACAAAAAGGTCTTATGCCTACGCTAGTCTCTTTGCCACAATTCATGTTGCATCGGTTCATTACTTTCCTTTTTTTTCCCCCCAAATAATTTCAGCATACCAATTATGCAAGATATGATTTATTGTAGATCAGGTGATCTTTGTGTTGTGGTTCTGAAAGCAGTTCCCATGCTGCAAATTAGCTGTTTAGTACTTTATTCTAATCTGCAAGCATGTGTTTGGTCATATGTGTACCTTTGATTTCAAATACTACAAAATAGATTTTAAATAGCAAACTTTTATTTTTATTCAGTTCCGATGAGCATACACCGGTAGAAGATGAAGAGGCAAAATCTAAGAGTAGTTCTTCAGATTCCAGCTCAGAAGGTATTTTGTTTTGTTTACACAGCTTGTTTCGAAAATGGGAAGCTACCGAAGCCTAGAATCTGCTGCTGTTGCTTGCAAGAGGTTCACTGACTTTGATAGGTGGAAGTCAGTGTGGTGGGCTCCAGTTCGAAGGAGAGCGTTGCTTTGGGAAGATCGGGAAATACATATGGAGCTAGATGATCTTTGTCTGTTCTCTAATGTTATCTTTTAAAAACATTATAGAGGAAAAAAAGAAAAAGAAGAAGAAAAGAAAGAAGAAAAAGCGGAAGGCATCCAAAAGAAAACGCAGAAAACATTCTGAGGACAGTGACAGCGAGTCGGAGTCTGAGCAGAACTCCAGTGGTAAGAAAAGAGGGTTTCGGCTAATGTGCGTGGTGCGAGAGCTTTCCTTCTGCTCCTCCAAATGAAAAGTGACGCTTCTGGCTTTTGTTGTACACTTGCAGTGTTCTGAAATTACAGAGTTGCGGCATCAATCCGGTATTCTTTTCTTTCACCATCTTGCTGGGTTTCCAGTGCCTTGGGTGCTTGCGGTCTGGCCTCAGGAAATAGGATTTATGAATTTAGCATCCATTTGGCGTCTCATGCCAGAGATATATTTGATATGTTCTCATTTCAAACAATACTGCAGGTAGCTTTCTACTAATACTTTCTCGATATTATTTGGTACCTAAACAAATCATGCCTGAGAATCTGTGTATTAAGGCATTCTGGTGGAGGCAGTTAGTTATTCACAGTGCAGTAGACTACTTAGTTATAGCTAATCATCTCTTTCTGATAATACATGTACTTTCTTTTTTTCAGATGAAGATAAAAAGAAAAGCAAGAAGAAGAAAAAGAAGAACAGAAAGTAAGTTTCCCAGGTTGTTGTGTGTAATTCTACCTGCTGTTGACTAGAGGGCAGCACCACTTTCTTAGCAGGTAGTGAGGAAGGCTGGGCACTCTTGTAATTAGGGCTATAAATGCTGTCGAATAATCTTAATTTGATGGATTTTCTTTAAATCTGCAGAACTGTGCAGCATAAAGGACTCGCTGCAAACGTAGGGAAACACTTTCTAACACTATATGAAAGTCTTTGTTTTGCTCTAAGGTGTTTTCTATGAAACAACAATCATCTATATGCAGACAGCCAGTCTTCCCGTAGGTGGAAGTTGCCTTGAGAAACTAATGACTTGAGTATGATTCCAAGCACTTTCCTTCATCTTAAATTTTGGTAAATAACATGTCTGTCTTTGACTTTATCACAGGAAGAAGTATAAGAAAAAGAAAAATAAGAGGAGCAGGAAGGAATCCAGTGATTCAAGTAGTGAAGATTCTGATGACGAAACATTTCAAGGGGAAGATCTCTGGATTGAGAGATCAAGTAGGTTCACCTGACCTTAAACTTGGATTGAAACTTCTTGGTGTCCTTTTCGTGAATTCTTTGTTAGGTGTTGCTGACGTGTGTAACTGTTCTGATCACAAAGAACAATGGGCACAATATTAATCTTCCTCATTATTTGATTGTTGCAGAAAATACAGAAGCCGATAGCTTGATTGGACCAGAAGCTCCCAAAACTCACGCATCTCAGGATGATAGGCCTTTGAAGTGAGTAACCAGCTCTGACGGTACTTTGATCAAATCAAGTAAATCAAGCCTGAAGGTTACTGTTCAAAAGGAATGTTATAACAATATGGCATGCATCAGAGAGAAATGCTGTGCCAGAAACTCATAGACAGAAGTGGCAGTGGTGCTACCCTTTACCCTGGCCTGAATTCAGGTAGAAAAGTCTGGTTTATGCTTTTTAGCCTTGATTCCTAGAAAATCAATCGTAAGATGCCTTTATGCTAATGCTGTCAGTATTGTGACTTTAGAGTGTCTTCATTACTGTTTAATCAGAATGGATTCAACTGGTAATTTGAGATGTCGTTGCTACTGTTGGCCATAAGGAAGAAACAGGCCAGTACGTGGGAAAGAATAAGAAAGTGCTTAAAAATGTAGCTATAACGAGTAGTGAACAGGGAAGCTGGATGTTTAGCTCAGGCTCTCTCTATTTGAGACTGATTTGAAATCACCGCTTTTTTTTTTTTTTTTTTAAGCTACGGACATGCCCTCTTGCCCGGTGAAGGTGCAGCAATGGCAGAGTACGTAAAAGCAGGAAAACGTATACCCCGGAGAGGTGAAATCGGCTTGACCAGTGAAGAGATTGCATCATTTGAGAGCTCTGGTTATGTCATGAGTGGCAGCAGGTATGGTTTTGATGATGGTGATGGTTCAGTAAAATTTTCAAGAGCTGCTTCCTCTGTTGGCTGGTTGGAAGACTGCTTCCAAGCTTTAGTTGAAAGCACAGAAGAGAAGGTGCTCTGTGTGCTTGCAATAATCTACGCTAAACTCCCTATTGCTATAGATGGTGAGTTTTTAAGGACACTTTGTCCTCAAGAGCAAAAATTCTTTCCAGGTCATATACTTCTAATTACCTTGTATTTCAAATGAGGAGATGCTTGTGTCAGGTGGCTCAAAGCTGGTGTGTTTGGACCGCAGTGGTGATATGCTGGCTCTTCAGTAGGAGACAAATCGAAGTGTGAGAGGTTGGCTGCGCTTTTTTCTCTGTGAGTCCAACAGGAATTTCACTTAAATTTTGGTGAGCCAGCAGCTGACACCCTGGGGGTCGGTGGGGCTTCCAGCTGAACTGCCTGAGAGCAGACACCCCCAGAAGTCAGTTTCTATCTCTGCCACGCTCCTTCCTGGGAAGGTTTGTGTGCAGTTTGGATTCTCTAGCGTAGGTATCTTTATAAGCCCCTCAAAATATTCAGGTCAGTTGATGGATGGAAGCTGTGACGGGGCATTACATCCCTCTGCCCGTGCTGATGTACACACTGTTCTCCTCTGCAGACATCGCCGAATGGAAGCTGTGCGTCTGCGTAAAGAAAACCAGATTTACAGCGCAGATGAAAAGAGAGCTCTGGCATCCTTCAACCAGGAGGAGAGGAGGAAACGAGAGAATAAGATCCTTGCAAGCTTTCGAGAGATGGTCTACAGAAAGACTAAGGGCAAAGAGGAAAAATAATTCTTTATTTGAACACCATAGATTCTACCAAGCAGCAGCTAACCTGTTCCAGTCATGATCTGAAAAAAGCTGCAAGTGCTGCAGTGCCTTTCACCCAACAGGGCGAAGCCTCAGGAGTGGATTACTTGTATCAAGGAAACAGAGTTACTTTTGTCAGATTTTCTTTCATGATTTGTTCACCGTCTACAAGGAATCCCTGTAAAGTGAAAGGCTACAAGGCAGGGAAGGCAGGAACAGGCAGGGAAGATCAGAGGTGGCGATGTTCTGTGCTCTCTTTGAATCGGACAAGCAGGAGGATTCCATGGGAGGGCTTTGTTACCTGATGCTGATAAGTGCGATTTTCCATTTATTTTGATTAATGAGAGTAGACTGGCCATCAGAAGCAAGCTACTGGTAACAGTAGCAAAAAAAAGGAACTCCTAAGTTCCTGTTTAAGATCTAAGGCTCTCCACTTAGGTATTTTTTCATAAGTCTTTTAGATTTTTTTTTTTCTCAAAGCTGAGTTTGGTTTGTGATTCAAACTAGACTTGTAAATAGAAGTGAGTTTTTAATTTAGTACAGATGGGCTTCAGTTACTTTAAAGCAATCAGATCTCAATTGGGGTATAAAGTAACAGTAATAGTAATAGGAGGGTCTGATCTTCAATCCACCAAAGCCCGTGGTGAAGAACTAAGTTGCTTGCTTCTTTTTCTCCTATGTTATACATAGGTATCAGAGCAGTGGGGTGCAGTGATTGGAACCCCTGGATGTACACAGGTGGTAACAAGGATGTATTTTTCAATTTATTTGAATTTTTTTTTGTCTATGGAATATGTCTATGTCTAGATTAAAAGCTTATTTTATCTCCTGTGGTATTTTAATTTGGTCTGTTTGAGCAGTATTACATGGGTCTCTCTGAATTCTGTACTTAGAGGCCTACTCCGGGTAGTCCTTCTGTGGTGGTTATCTTTGATTCAACTGCATATATCCAGACATACTCCCCTTAGCCTTCTTTTTCTCAAATGCTTTTAAAAACAGTGTTTTCTAGAGGGTTTTTTTGTTCCCCTAAATCTCTGTGTTGTAATTTTGGCAGCAGAGATATCTTGTATGTTTGTATAAAGAAAATAAAAGTCCTATAACGTTTGCCCTGGAGTTCTGCAGATCTAGTGTTCGCAAACAGCAAGTCCAGCCCAGCTGCCTCTCCCCGTTTACACTTGGAACCTGGTTCTGTCCTGCCATACCCACCCATACCTGCAAGGGACCGTCATGTAAAGCCAACTGCCAGGTCAGGCTGTAGTTGATTTTGCACAGATTTAATGCTTTTTATGTATCCATGAAGTAGAAATGCTAATAAGGAAGAGCCATTCTTTCTTCACTGTGTTTATTTGATTCTCCACAAAATACCAACAGAGCATTGGTGATGGTGAATTGCAGCTGTTCGTTAGAAAGTAAGTCTTTCCATGAGGATTATTTTATTTTCAATGATGTCCTTAAGCCACTTTTCTCTAAACTGACACTGTTCTGGCCTGGAGGATGGAATAAAAAGAGGGTAAATGGTAAGAATAATACTGAGTCCAAGTTTGGCCAGCTAAGAGCTGGCCTTTATTCACAGGGCAAGCCTATCTGCTGAAAAAAAGACCACCACCTAGACTTGTGCAAACCCAGGACAAATTCATTATGGAGAAGGCAGATGGTCGTGGGTTGGCTATCTGTGCTTGTGGTGGAGTGAAGCTAATGATAAGCAGGGTCACTTGGTTTTGCGTAGCAAGATTTTGACAGCTTCCTCCACCTCTCTGCTATTACTGCAAACTTATTTACATCGAGCTCCCTGTTTGTTTTTGGCATGGAAAAGCTTGCTAGAACCTCCCGAGTTGTGTCAGTGACAGAAGAGTAAAACATTTACCTGTGAATCAGCCTGCTGGACTCCAGAGTGAAGAATACCTCCACAGGCAAGGTCTGCAAGGGAGGAGAGACAGGGCAGAGTTCACACACAGGACCTCAGAAAGCAGACATTTTAATTAGGTGAGAGCTACTATCTACTTCAAAAATAACCTGTGTATTTGTACAACATTTCTGGTATGGATTAGAGTAGTTTTGGTTTAAAGCCTCTGTGAGTATTCTTTTGTGAAGGCAAAGACTCAGATGTTACAATTTTAAGCTTGTGCTAGGATATAAGATTTCTGACCAGTGGCTATGAGCTGTTGTGCTGGTTTTGGCTGGGCTAGAGTTCATTTTCTTCACAGTAGCTAGTATGGGGCTGTGTTTTGGATTTGTGCTGGAAACAGTGTTGATAACACAGGGATGTTTTCGTTACTGCTGAGCAGGGCTTACACAGAGTCAAGGCCTTTTCTGCTCCTCACCCCACCCCACCAGCGAGCAGGCTGGGGGGGCACAGGAGTTGGGAGGGGACACGGCTGGGACAGCTGACCCCAACTGACCAAAGGGATATCCCATACCATATGACGTCATGCTCAGCATATAAAGCTTGCGGGGGGGAGGTTGGGGAAGGGGGAAGCACTGCTCAGGGACTAGCTGGGCATCGGTCAGTTGGTGGTGAGAAATCGTTTTCATTTGCATCATTTGTCTGTCTTAGTTTTTATTTTTCTCTCTCCTTGTTATCTTTTTCCTTACAATTTCTTGTTATTATTGTTATTTCTTTTTTTAAATCATTAAACTGTTTTTATCTCAAGCCACGAGTTTTCTCACTTTCACACTTCCAATTATCTCCCCCAGCCCACCAGGGCCTGCGGGGGGAGAAGTGAGTGAGCAGCTCTGTGGTGCTTGGTTGCCAGCTGGGGTTAAACTGTGACATCTGTGGACTGCCACTTGGGGATCCATAGCCAGTAAGTAGAAAAGCTAAGGTTCAGTATGACTAAGCATAGGTTCCAGAGGTAAAAAGTCTACTCAGTGCGATTTTTTCTTTTTTTTTCTCTTGAGCTGCAACATATTATTGTACAGGTGACAAACTTCAGGCCGGTGTGGAAAGGGGTTCTGAGACAGCATGAAGAGCAGCAGGCCAGTCTCCCTCTACTGAGCCCTCGTTCCGTAACTCGCCTCCGCTCAGCCCTGCTTACAGCTGCCCAGAGCGATTGCTGTTGCTTGGAAGGGGAAGTCGGTATGGGTAGGAAAGCAGATGTGGGATGCTGCCAGATTCTGTTTGTCATGTTTCTGCCAGTCTCCACAATTAGTGAGCTAAACCAGCCTCTGGCTCTGCGCTCTGCCAAACACAGATTCAGTCCAGCCCGTTGCACAGAGGTGCCGTAGGCTCTGAACACCAGCACTTGCCACACAGAGCCCTTCAGAGGGAAAGGACCACGGATGCTACATGAGAGAGTCCAGGGATGTTTTAGCAGAACTCAGCATGCTGAATTTTCCAGGATGACAAGAGGCTGTTATGAGGATTCAGCTACTAGAGGAATAAATGAGCAAAGAGTAGGTCCTAGTCCTTGTGCTCTGATAGAAATGCTTACTGCTTGAAGGTGAAAGGAGGTAGTGAGAGCAGTGGGAAGCTGGCTTAGGTTTGTATGAGAATGAGTATCAACAGGTAATACCACAGAGCAAGGGTGAGCTGTGAAACTTTCCTTTGCTCATTGGCACACTTTGTTCTGTCTTCCGGGAGTTTTCCTCGTTTGGTTTCATCCCCTCAGTAACAAAATTGGGAAGAACAACTGCAGCACAGACGTCTGCTTTGAAAGACAGATGGGAGAAAGGAACCCTGAGGACCCTGGCGTAGGAGTTGTGCCAAGACATGGGGAAGTATCTGAAGGGGAACTGGTCAACAGGTTGGAAAATGGCTTAGCAGCTGATGGGAAGGTCTTGTGCTGGAACTGCTGGGGAGGCCAGACTTGGGATGCAGACCCCTAAAGAGCTCTGTGTGTGTGACAGATGAGGCCCACTCGTTTATTGCATCTCATGCAACAAAGGAAGCTTCTTCCTGCTGCTGCTCAGGACATGCTGTAAGGTGAGCATAGCCCGAGGCGTGGTGTCAAACAGAAAAGGCCTCTTCTGAGCCTAAAAATTCTCTGTGGAGACACGCTCACCCAGGCCGGATGAGTCTCACAAGGAGCTGTTCAAGGCCCCTTGGCATCTTGAAGGATTACAGCAAACCCTGCCTAAAGCAGTCCTGGCTTTCAGCTGTCTGTGTAGTTTGGGAGAGGTGTTCAAGGCTAGTGTGAGCCCTAGAAGCCTGTCTCCTCTGCTTCTTGTCCTGATCTCCACATCTTTTCCTTCTCTTATTTCTTGTCCTCCTGATCTCTTACTGCTAGTTCTGTCTCTCCAGCCAGCGCTGTAGCTGACTAGCTGGTGGTAAGTGCTTTGGGCTCGTATTTCATTGATACCCAAGCTCTTTTCAGCCCTTCAGAAAACTGGGACCTTGACAAGTTTGTCAGGAGCCAAACCCAAGGCTGAGCACATCTAGAAAGCACGAGCAGCTGGACAGCTTAATTTAACCACATCATCTCAGAGCCTGGAACAGAGTGCCACAGAGAAGTGTCAGACGTATCCTTGTTTTCTTATTTTCTTTCTAGTAGTTGGTATAGTGCTATAGTTTTGGATTTAGTATGAGAATAAGTTGATAACACACTGATGTTTTAGTTGTTGCTAAGTAGCGTTTACATAGTCAAGGACTTTTCAGCTTCTCATGCTCTGGCAGGTGCACAAGAAGCTGGGAGGGGACACAGCTAGGACAGCTGACCCAAACTGGCCAACGGGGTATTCCATACCATATGACGTCATGCTCAGTATATATAAACTGGGGGAAGAAGAAGAAAGGGGGGGACATTCAGAGTCATGGCATTTGTCTTCCCCAGTAACTGTTATGCATGATGGAGCCCTGCTTTCCTGGAGATGGCTGAACACCTGCCTGCCGATGGGAAGTAGTGACTGAATTCCTTGTTTTGCTCTGCTTGTGTGCACGGCTTTTGCGTAAGCAGTATTAAACTGTCTTTATCTCAACCCACGAGTTTTCTCACTTTTACCCTTCCTATTCTCTCCCCCATCCCAGTGGGGGGGAGTGAGCAAGCGGCTGGCTGGGGCTCAGTTGCTGGCTGAGGTTAAACCACGACACCCTCCCTGCTCAGTGACACAGGCTGTGGGTTACGGTTCAGAACTGCTGATAGACTATCAGAAACACTTCGTCCCGACCCAATTAATCAGCAGAGGAGTTCAGATGCAAATTTCTGCGTCTGAACTTGCTGTTATTCATGCTGATGTAAATCCAGAAGAATTCTGTTTATGTCAGTGTATTTTCTTTTTCTGCAATATTACTTTTTCAACATGGCTACAAGCAAATAAAGGGAATTACAGTAGAGAGACA